ATCCTTTTCATCTTCCTCCTTTTCTTCTTCCTCTGCTATTTAAGATTCTGCATGTTTCCTAATACAAACCTGTAAGTCAAGACCAGTAGCTAGAGTACCTACAACTATTGTATATATTTTTGAATGGTGAGCAATAGAGTGATTCTGGTGGGAGAGGAATTGCTATTTGAGTGATCTATTGCCACAGAGCTAGTTAAATCACTGAGCAATAGTGACTGTTATGGGGCTTTACTTTGTACCGAGTAGCATTAGTATCATTGCTTTCCATTAACCATAGAACTCATACTAGGGAGGGAGAGAGGTTGAGAGAGAGGGAGGGAAAGAGAGAAGAAATTTTGTAGTATTAGCATTTAGATCCTGAGATAACAATGTAACAATGTAATTGATCTCAACCTATCTGCATAGATCTTGTGCTTTTTTCCTCATTGTTTTTCTAAAGTGTTGAGTGCCTCTATTAATAATCAATACTCTGCTATTATGAAATTCACACATAAATACACTAAAGCCAATCAGAAAGCAACAATAGAAGCATATGTGGTAAACAACTAACTTTTAACTCAAGGGGCACTAAGCAATAAAGGGTCTCGGGTGAACATCCCAATTAGCCAGCGTGGTGACAAGCAGTCAACACCTTATTATTTAATCATTAAAGAGAATCTTGTCATAATTTCCTCTTGATATGTATCAAGAAAGGAATTCAGAATATACCACATGACCCACAAGAATAATCAAAAAAGTTAGAGGATGGGAGGACCTCATCCCAGGGCCTGATTCCAGGATGAAGGCACCACGTAAGGCCCTAAGAAGCATTCACGTTTCAAGGAAGGTGTATCTGAATGCAAGTATTTAGAAACAAGCCACTTGGTTTCCTGCCTCCCACTGTGGGTGTCCAGTTTTCTTAAGTGATGAAAATGAAGCTCACAAGTCTAAGCAACTATCTGCTACCCCATTCGCTTTTTTTTTTTTTTCTAAAGCAACAGCTCCAACCCATGAAAGGACCTTAGCTATGCCCACTGTCCTCATAGGCCGACCCTTACCACGACACCTTCCCCAAGCTCAAAATTGCCCTGGACATACTCTCACACCATTTTGAACAGAGGAGACTTTTGCCATCAAGTCCTACTTCAGTCTTAAGAATCATAACCTAACCATGCGTTGGAAACAACATTCCAAACTTCTGAAATGAAACCGCCAGCGCCAGGGTTCCCAGGCCCACGGTGGCCCAGGTCCGCCCCAGCTCCCTGAGGCCTCTCCCGCCCTGCGGCCTGGGTCACACAGCCCCAGCGGCTGCTCCCCAGCCCCCAGGAGCCCGCCAGCACTTGGCATTTTAACCTGCCTGGCTTCCTGGTTCCATCTTACTTCTCCCCAGGCGCCAGGCACAAATCTGGATTAACACGCAACAGGGCGCCCTGTGCAGCTCGCCAGGCCTTGCCCGGGAGCTGTTAAATGCAGATTCAGACGGGACCCCCTGGGGAGCCGCTGCGGAACACAAGCTGTAACCCTAGGGACTGTTTCTCTGCCTCCTGCTGCTGGCGGGCAGAACCAGGGCGGTCGCGGATGGCCCAGCACCGACCCAGCTGATCTCGCCTTGCTGCGGGCAGGCGTGGCCACCCCGGGAGGCGGGCTTGGGGGCCCGGAGACCTTCGCTCCCCTCTCCACTATCCCCCTGTGGCGCCTGGCCGTGGATAAGAGATAGATTCCCGGAGTGGGGAGCAACAGACAACCCCGGGAAGGAAGGCGACGGCTCCCTCCCGGGTCCTGGCATTTTGGGTGACCGGACTCTTCTCCGCCTAGCCCCTCTCCGCCTCCTCAGTTCCACCCTGGCCCCCCACCCTACCCCCCGCCATTCACACGCCCCGCCTCCCCTCTCTCCCCAACTCCTTTCCGCCGCCAAACCTGCCCTCCCCTTCTCTCAACACTACACAGCCTGGTCACCATCTCGGGCCGCTCCAGGGTCACAAGCCCTCCCTTGAGCCCTGCGGAGACCAGGCAGCCCCTCGCGCCCCCAAGTCCCTGGCCGTCGGGAGCGGCTGTGCAGAGCCAGGAGCTCAGCGGTCGAGAGAGGGCGCCCAGGAGGCCCGCGCCCGCCTGAGATGCCTCTCCGGCCCTGGGACCTCCAGGCGGCGTCCGAGACAGGGCGAGAGGGGGTTGGCGGCTGGGGGAGAACGGGATTACAGCTTGCACTAGCGTCTTAATCTGATAAGATAACAACAACAACAACAACAACACTACAAGGCCAAGTGAATTTCCTCCGATTGAGCCCTCCGGGAACTCGACTGGTATCAAAGTGGTCGATCCCAGGTCTCGGCGCGGGTGGCAGCCTTCGCGCCCTCGGAGGAAACAAAGTAAAATAAAATAAACCACGCCGCCAGTAGGCCCTAGAGACAGAGGGGTTAATGAGCTAACGAGGCCCAGCGCTCGCACTACACCTGGAGCGTCCAGCCCCCGAGAGCACCTTCTGCCCAGGCTCCGACTGGCTGGGCTGCATTCACAGACAGGTGGGGAGGCCGAGCTTTCGGGGGGCTTAGCGCCCGCCGACGCAGCCCAGCAAGCTCCAGTAGGGGGGAACAGGCACCCACCAGACGGCCCGGTGCCTCCTCCCTCACCCCTCGCTTCCCCGGGGCTGGGGAGGCCACCTGCGTCCAAGGCCCAGGACCCCGTGCGCTCCTCTCTCTCCGCCGCCCCCTCAACCCGGCCCAGACACAGTCGCTCCTGGCTCCTGGGACCCGGACAATTAGAAAACACAATCCTGGGTGTGCTTTCTGAGACCTGGGTGAGCCGAGGTCACACGAAGGCGCCCAAGCGCCTTGGCCAACAGCGCCACGAGCCTAGCCAAAGCTGCGAAGCCCACTCTCAAACGGCGGGACAAGATGAAGACTCTCCTCTTATAGGTAGGAGAGGAACACAGAGGGGCAGCTTGTACCCGACACAATTGCATGCCAATCTTTGCACACCTCAGGATAAGATACTTGGGTAAAGAAAGTTTATGGAAAGAGTAAGGGAAGAACTTAATAATGTTGTATGTATTTCGTATCTCCTCCCTCCCCTCCGCCAAAAAAAAAAAAAAACACATAACTTTGGTCCTTTATCTTTTACCTTAATAAAATAATGATTCGTTGAGAAAATGGGGTATAAATCTTCATTTTGGAAGCAATTAAAGTGTTGATTTCATTCATGCCCCTAAGCGATTCTTGTAATTTGCTCAAATAGCTTTATGTACCCGGCACTCCGGAGCTCTCAGAATCCCATTTTCTAGTTCGGCTTGTTGGATTACAATTTTTGTTCAACAGCAGGACGCGAGGGATGCTCGGCGGAATCTGCATTTAGCAGCTCCTGGGCAAGGACCCGTGGGCTTGAGCCGGCGCGAGGCCCTGCAGCCTGTGGGGCCGGGGTCGGGGGCTGCCTGCTGCTTTCCCACCTCCGCCCGGCCGCCCCCGGGTTGCACAGGCTGCGGGGTCCTGTGCACTCGTCTACACTGTCCAAAGTTTCCAGCGAGGACCCCGCGTGTTGGCGCTTTGAAAGCTCTGCCGGGCCGCACTCCTCCTAGGCAAAGGAGGAATTTAGCCTGGGTCGCGAGGGGTTGCCCGGAACATGCACCCTGGGAATTTTCTTGAAGGGAGTGATGTTAAGAGAAGAGAAACCTTAAGAGGATCCCACGAGCGAGTGTCAGCTACAGTGTGCACCGAACAGCTGCCAGCCAACAGTGATCATGGAAGAGCTTGCATAGAACTGGCTGGCCTTTGGCTTAACAAAGACAGCCTGATCTCTTCCCCCAAGACGGGGACTCACGTGCCAAGACGGAAAGAGAAACCACTCGGGGGTCTTTACTTCTACGAGGTGGGAGGGGGCCCGAGGAGGCCGGCTACCCTAACCTCCAGCCTCCTAGGCACCATTCACAACAGGGCTGTCCTGGGCTCTGTCTCATTTCACTCACTCACCCCTCACGTTTTCACTTTCATTGCATTTTTGCAACTCCTTTGGACCAATCCTGAGACGCAGGGACGGCAGAAACAGAGACATGGGGGGAGAGAGAGAGAGAAACTGGGAGCAAATGGTGATGTTGGGGTGACAGGAAGAGAACTGACCCCAGCTACTCCGAATACAAGTCGTCCCCTCTGAGCAACGCGGCGGAAGACAGGGCCTGCAGGGAAGACGCTAGAGGAGGGGGCGCAGCCCGCGAAGGCCGGCAGTTGAGAGCCAAGGCGACGGCGCAAGGTCCCCCACCCTCCACACTGAGGAGCCGCCGGGGTGCCCCCGACGCCGAGACTTCCACAAAGCTGCCACCCCAGAGGGCCCAGAGCACGTACCAGCTGGAGGATGAGTGGGAAAAGAGGAGGAGAAGAGTCCATATTTATCTGTTTTTGTAACCTCGGCCTGGTCTTATTTTTTCTATTAAGTACAATAAAACGGGCTAGTTTGCTGCGAACACCGCACAAAGCAATGCTCAGTGAGGTCTAGCAGCGCTCGGCCGAGGAAAACTGACAAGACAGGCTAATGAAGCGTACAGACAGGGAGAAAATAGCCAGCATTTGCTAGATTTCAAACCCTCGCTGTCCCTCTTAGACCACCTATCTTGGATTTATTCCTAATAAAATAAGAAATAAGCAGACCCTACACTTTTCTTTTCTTCCAGATAGAAGGGGTGGTGGTGGGGGGGGACCACTCCGGAACAAAGCCCTACAATCAGAGGCGGTCAGTGGCAGTTAACACTCCCATTATTACAGAGGGTAAATAAAATAAAGACAAAAATTAAAAGCGACAAGAAACAGGTCAAGTTTGCAGGCAAAGCTTTTAGAAGCTCATCTCTCCAGGTCGAATCCCAGAGCCAGCCTTAATGAAGCAATAATAGCCACATTATTCAAAGATTTTCATTTCGATGGAAATGTATCTAAAAGGGACTTAATCATATGCAAATAATAAAAGGAGGTGGTAGTGACCCAGCAAGCAATATGCATACAGATTTTTTTTTCCCAGGGATGTCGAAATTGAAAAGCGCATACCTGGTCGGTTAGATTTGCTGATCTTGTTATATCTTCACTGTCTGATTTTGATCCTCCTTCTCTGTCGTCTATCACCAAATCGATAGGCATTTTCCCTTTCAAACAGCTAATATACCGGTGGCAGAAATTGTCACATAATTCGTGTACCTACATTATGACAGAAATAAAAAAATGGAAGTATAATCAGGAGTGCATAAGTGACATTGACAAGTGCAATCCACCCCCCTTGTGAGACCCAAACTTCCAAAGAGGGGAAACACGGGCCAATTGTCCTCCAGAGACCCCCAGACGCATCCAGAATTAGGAATAACTTTCTTTTCTTGCAAAATAGAGATATCCCAGAAAATTGACAGTGACAAGATGATTCACAGGCTACAACATATTCAACACCCGTGTTAAATTCATCTGCTCCTGGGGTTGTGGCCATTACAGAGGTGACCTGAGTGGGTGACATTTAAGGTAAACTATTTAATTTCATCCAGTTGCTTTATTATAAATCCCTTTCCAATGCTCCTTAAGGAAAAAAGTGAATATAAATATATGTATATTTACAATATGTATAGATTCTCCAATGGACATGTACTGGAGTGGCAAAAGATACGTGCTGACTATGTAAAATCCTGTAACATTTGTAATTAGCAATTCTGTCCAGAAGATGCATGTTTTAGGGTTAGTGTTTCCACCAAAACTTGAAGGAAATCAAGTTGCCAGAACTCAGCCCCAGAAACTTAGCAAATTGGTATTTTTTAAGAGAAAGGGAAAAGATTGCCTCAAAATATTTAAGAGTAAGAGAATTGGTCTCCTCCAGGCCCTGGGCATCGCTAACATGCAAAAAAATTTGCAAGAAACCCCAGTGCGCATGCAATTTAATGTTAGTTTGAATTACAATGCATTAAGTTTTTATTGCTGAGATTTATAGAACAGCTAGCAACATCATGTTATCCCACACCCTTTCTTGAGTGTGAAGGTGGAGGACTCAAGGAACTGACATAACTATCAACTCTGCTTTGTCTCTGCACAACATTTAGTGCGCTTCTCCCACCAGCTCCTCCAGACCCCTTGCTGGCTTCTCCTCCCCCTCCACCTCTCCTCTGCGGCTGACCTGCCCCTGCTCTCAGACTGTCTTCCAGAAACTCACAAAAACTAAACAAAACTGCCCCGCCTCCCCCCCCCCCCCCCAATGCAACTAGGAGAAAGAGGAAGAGACCACAGAGGTATCAACCTGTGAAGTGAACTCACAGCAGCATTCTAAACACCAACCGGGATGCACAGAATTGCAACAATTTACACAAAGCCAGCAAAGTATTAAGAGTGAACACAAGGATAGGGCGTTTGTGATTCCGGTTATAGTGGCTGAAATTGTAATTAAACTGGGAAGAGAAATGGACGCTAAGATTGGCCTTGACACTAATTACCAGCAAGAAAGACATTTATGCAAATGTCGCAGAAGCCTGAACTTCAGCCGTTCTGAAGGCTCCTCTCTGTGTGTTGGGGTGAGGGGAAGTAAAAGAGGCTAGAGAAATTACCTTCTCTAATTCCAACAGATGAAACCTTAATACTTGTATGGCTTGAATCATCTGTAAAGATACAAAAAGCATGAGCACCCCGATCTTGGTCTGCAGAAAATTGGCTGTCACAGCTCCAGCATCTCCAGCCCACCCCTTTCCCCCAGTAAATATAGTTATTTTGATTTATGGCAATAACACTAAAACTTAATAGCAGCGACTGGGTACCATCTAGAGGTTTGTATTTCTTAAGAAGAAAAAAAAAAAACAGCTAAAACAACAAGAACGCATCTAAGTGGGGATCATAAACACTCTCTTCCCCCTTGGCTCTACCCACTGAGTCCACCCCACCCCCAAAGGGCCACAGAGCTGGACTAGGTGTTTCCTTGGAGGCTGAGGGAGAGTGCACCAGAAAATATTCCAAAGGGTCCCCAAATTGTGGCTTTTCACACTGCAAACTTCCTGCCGCCTTCCGCACACCTTGCAGGCACCCGGAATGCTTGGGGGCCCCTGCCCGGTCGCTGCGCTCGTGGCGAGCCTTGCAGGGCTGGGAAGTCCACAAAGTTTAAGCACACACGCTGACAGGCCTGGAGATAAATCCCCGCGCTGATTAGGGCTGCGCGGCCCGGCTGTCATAAAAACAAAAGCTCGCGTTTCCCCGCGCCGGCTCGCCCGGCCCCTCTCGAGATGAATTTATTTCCCCGGGATCCTGTCCCGGACCACTTGTGCGTGGACGCACACACTAAGACTGGTCTGGAAACCCCAGGGCTCTCCAGGCGAAGCCCCAGGGGGTTGGAGATTGGGGTGGGGGAAAGGAGTGGGCAGGGGGAAGGGGTCGGCTCTTACCAAGTTATCCAGTTCAGGATTAGAAGAAAATAGAGGTTTTTCTGCGCGAATCTAAATGCAAGTGAGGAGGGGCGGGAAAAGGGGGGAGGGGGAGGGAAGAAAGAAGAAGAAAAAATGAAATCTGGTCGCCTTGCTAGTTTCTTGCCCCACTGCCCTGCCTGGGACGGGATGTAACCCCGAGACGGAGGCCCGCTTAGGAACACTTCAGGGTGACTCCAAGAAGCTGAAAATCAGCCCAGAGCCCAGGCTCCCTTCTGGGAGCGCCCAGCTGCGTGGCCCGCCGCTCGCGCCGGGTCCAAAGCGGCCAAACGCCCGCAGCCGGCGATTTCAGCTTTCCGCAGGGAGTTGGCTGCGGTGGCCGGTGGAGGGGGCCCAGGGCCGCCTGGGGGCGATTTTAAGTCATCCGCAGAGCAGACCCTCACAAGGGGAGGACGACCTCACGGTGGACGTGACACGCACGGCTGAGGGTGGGTGGACTCTCTGCTGGCTACTTTTGAAAATATGCGGGGTGTGTGTGTGTGTGTGCTCGCGCGTTGGGGGAGGGGCTGTCTTCTGCTTTTCTTTCTTTCTTTCTTTTTTTTTACTTTTTTTTTTTTTTTTTTGGAAACATGTATTTGCTGACCTGTTTGGCGAACACGGCTATATCTTCATTGAATGACTCTGACGAGCAGACGTCCCCGCCCGCCACCCCCGGCTCGCGGGGGGTACAAGTAGCTAATTCACATTTCTCAAAAATCAGTGCTAAGAGAGGGAAGAGGGGGTGTCTGTAAGAAAATACAACAGTCACAAACAACACAATGGTTAGTCCCGAGTCAGTGAAAGACGCGCCCAAGAAAAACAGCCGGAGGAGCTCGAGAAAGAGACCCCCTCCCTGATTTTTGTCACCTACTTTTATCCCCTTCCTCCAACCCCCTGCCCAGGTGGCGGATCACCTCCCCTTCCTCTTAGGGCCCTGAAGTCCGAGGCCCTGAGCCATTCATGGGCCGTATCTAAGGATCGGTTCAGCCTATCTGGCCGGAGAAATTGGCAACATTTGCCACGAATAAAAACCCAAGCGGTTCCAGCAGCCATTTTGAATTAAGTTTCCCACCCCGACCAGCCCTCGTCCCTGGGCTGCACATCCAGGACCCGGTGGAGGAGAAGGGCGCTGGGCGCAGGGGCTGGGGAAGCGACTTGGTGAAGGTTCCTCCCGGGCGGCCGCCGGAGGCTCGGGGGCGCTCGGTGGCAGGCGCTCAGCTCACTTGAGGCAAGGCTCTCTGGGGCTGCCGGACCGACTGTCACTGGATTGCACCCACCGAACCCAAGCCCACGGCCCTGGGAGAGCAGCAGGGGCCCTCCTCGGCCCTCTGCACGCTCCCCTCCCTTCGCGGATGTCCCCAACGGCCCCCCAAACAAAGTTCCTGCAAATGTTCCCGCGGTGGGGCCTTTCATTTCGTTTCTGCGGAGTGGCAGAGCAGCTAGTCTTGTGAGGGGCCTAGATGTCGCCTGTCTCAGCCCATTTAGGGAAAAGAAAAAAAAAAAAAAGCTTGCCCAAGGAGATGTCTCGAGTCTTTTATTCGCTCTCACAGCCCAGCTGGGAATTTAACAGTTTGGGGGCCTTTTCAAAGCTGCCCCAAATGTTCTGTCCCTGAGCCCGAATCATTCGCAGTGAATGCTGCGGAAGGAACGCTAGGATTTATACAAGTCCATGGCACCAGGGGCCAGAAAATCAAGCAGTAAGTCCCCCCCACCCCAGCCAGGGAGCGTCAGTGTTGCCAGGTTTTCTTTTTTAAAAAGAAGACATATATAGAAATAAAAGTTGTTGCAAAGTAAAAGGAGCTCCCCGAATCCATCAGCACACAGTAGGCGCAAGTGCCTTTCCAAGGATTTTAGCTAGTGCAGCAGGGTTTCATCCAGCATGGTGCGAGCCTCGGCTAGAAAACAGCCTCCCGCCTGAGTGCACCCCGCATTTCCTTCTAGCTACATCCCGCAGGTTTCACCTTAGAATACAAAGTGTTAAAACGTCTAGAAGTTTCCTAACGTCCGGAGCAATCCAGAGCCAGCCCCTCTCCTTGACTTCAGTGGTCAGACTCCCTAAATGCAAAACATGTTCCCCCTTGTCTGACCCGCAACCGTGCTCCCTTGATTTCATTGTGCAGTGGCAGAGCCAGCATACGGTTGCTGAGTAAACTTAGCAAGTCAGAACAATCAGTGGCTTAAAAGATTTTCCCTTAAACTCAAAGTTTCGTACCAACACAAAGGCGCCTACATTTGGAAGCCCTAACGTGCTCCGAGCGAAGTCGAGCGAGGATGGACTCCAACGCGATGAGTGGCGGTCTGGGAGGGGACCAGGGACCTTTAGGCAACTTCTCTCGCCCTGGGACCCCTGTTTGGTGCTGCCGCGGCGGAATGGGGCGCTGGGTGGACACAGAGCAAGTATGGAGGCCGGGGTGGGGGTCGGGGACTGCAGACCGCCTCCCCCAGTCCTTCATGCAACGCGAATGAATACTCAACCACAGCACCTCCAACCCAGACAGCTCTGACCTGCCTCTTACCAAGGGCACTGGGAAACAGGGGAAGCATCGCATCTCAACGAGTTAACCTGCTCCCCATTGTACCTACCCATAAATGGCATCTTTATCTCTCTTTAAAGCGTCATTGACCGAAGAGCCCATGCTGGGGGCCATGGCGTTGGTGTGAGCTGTGTGTGGATACTGATGCGAGTGCAGAGGAGGCCCGTGGTTCAGGTGGTGGACCGGCTGCATGGACCTGGCCGCGTGCGGGTCCCCATACATCGTGGAGGGGATGCCTACTCCATCCATGCCCCCGTAATGGGGTAGATCGTCGTACTGCATGACAAACAGGAAAGAGAGAAGGTTCAGAAAGCCAGGCGGGCAAATGGGGGAACGGCAGGGCACCAAGCTTATATAAGGTCAGTCCAGCTGGCTCCTTCAAGCCGGAATTTGGTTGCCTTGCATCTCCAAAGTTGAGATTTCTTGTTTAAAAAACAATTTCTCAAGTAAAAATTCTAGGAGTCTCGCTAAGACTCATCTGGGATGAATGTTCTTGCCCTAACTTGTGTCCCTATCCATTCGTTCAGAAACTCAGGATCCCCTGGCGAGGAAGGAAGGAAGAAAGAAGGAAAGACAGGGAGGCATTCTCCCGGAGGGCGGAAGGTACAGCGTGCATGTCTCTGGAGGAGGAAAATCAAGCAAAATCACAATAATAAAACATGCCAGGGCAGTGCAGCTAAACCTGCCTAGTTTCACAGCCCCTTCACATCAGGGGGAGTTAAAAAAAAAAAAAAAAAGTTACGATGGGAACGGCTCTGCCAAGCACGTGAATTCAGACAGGCTTCTCATTTTATTTCCCTGCCAGCGTGGGGTTGGGCAGTCCTGCAAGACACTGCATTTCCTTTGCTTTCCAAGATAAACTCTGCTAAATTATCAAAAGGAACTGATTCCCTGATACATGAAATTTAAGGAAGGGTAATGTTTCCCTACCTTAGAGCTGAATTTAGAATGGGACAATTTCCCCAAAAAGTTACAGAAAATCTATAGTCGAAGCAATTAATATTGTATTTTTTTTTACGCTTATGAACTTTCTCCCCAGACTAGAAGTCAACCAGGCAAAAGCTACTCAATAGGTTAAAGGCAAATTCAACAGCAAATGTACACACAACCCGCTGTCTTCTTCTCCCAATAAAACTACTTTCATATTGACTGTCATTATTTCTTGTGCGAAATTGAGCTATTTGGGTTTTTCTAATTGCTTCATTCCAGGCAAGTTCTTTTCCCAAGATTTGGAGGCGCCGAGAGTGAAATGATTTTCAAAGAAAAGAGGAATTGCCACTTTCATCTCCTTAAAGCCAGAGGTGTGAAAAGAGTTTGGAAGAACGCTGGCATTTGCCTGAACCAAAGGAGTAAAGAAAAATGTGTCAGCCTAGTAACTTTCTTTTGCAAACAGGGCTTTGAGGGCTAGGACACAAATTATGCAAGGAAGGCTTTTTGTAGACCCCCTTTCTTTTAAGAAACTACCTCAGTTGGGCTGTCATTGTCTCACTTTACTCTCACTACATTTCCATTCAAATAGGAATATTGGGGAAATTAAGTATTGCATTTTTAAAGTGAGTGACTATGTGCTTAGTATCCAATTAGTACAAGGCTTACCTAAGAAAAACTTGCAAAGTATTATCTTGCATAAAAACCCCATGCAAATTAAAATTACTTTTAAAAGATGAATGCCTTCCGACCCCCAAAACCTGCTGTATTATGACAAAAGTTATATGCTTTAAAAAACTAAATACTTCTAATGATATTAAAGATGGGCATAATCAATAACATCGCAGAAGTTTCCAGCTGCTTATTTTAGTTTAAACATAGCTTTAAACTTCTGATCCCTGAATGCTCAAATTAGGTATCTAGTGTTTTTTTTAAATAGATGATTGCTCCAGCAACATATTTTTATTTTTATATAGCTGCTAGTTAGGAATCTACAGAAAACTTGGTTACTTGAATTAACATCTACAAATAACAAACACAAGTCTACAAATGCATTGAATAAATCTTCTCGCTTTAGGCCACGGCTTTAAGAGCCTCATTCAAAAAGAAAGAGAGAAAAAAGGAAACTTTTTAGCAGTGTCCTTCAGCCACGTTTCAATTTAATCTCACAATTGTTTTTAATACGTACCCTTTGCGCCATCGGCCTCTCTGGCTCCCTTCCTACTTCAACTTCTAATATATCCTCTTTAAGGCCAGTGTGAAAAGAAACAAATAAGCAAACTCCCCCGGAAAAAAAAAAAAAAAAAAAGCACGACGAAAAATCCTTTAACGTCTCCAGCAGTGTGAGCTACTCGTCCCAGATCGTCGGTCTACGGGACCTGAGGCAAAGCGCCCGAGTCACTGAGCATAAAAGCGCTCCGTTTCCAAGACAGCAGCGGGGGGGAGGAAAAAAGAAAAAAAAAAAAGGAAAAAGGAAAAAAAGCGCAGATCTTCTCTCCCCCAAAAATCAGTTTAAAAAAAAAAAAAAAAGAGCGAGCGCCCCTCAGACCCAACTACCAAATCTCATGGCTTTCTGCCACTCCAGCTGTCAATCACAGGCGAGGTTGTCAACGTGGTGAATGAATGATCATCCGCTCTGTCTTCTTCTGGTCAGAACACCTCAAATGTTAATATTCAAATGCACAAAGCCCTAGCGCTCGCGTCCCTCGAATCAGTCCTAATTCCTAATCAGTTTCTCTCTTCTCTCGCTCGCTCGCTCTCTTTCTCTTTCTCTCTCTCCCTCTCTCTCTCCCCCTTTGCAACTGCTGCACTGGAGAGAGATTAGAGAAGCAGGGTTAAAAAAAATGTCTGTCTGAGTTTGTCTTAAAGGAGCCACGATCGATGCTGCCCGCTTGCAGTCCCCGTGCGTGTGTAAAGTGTGTGTTGCACAGGCGGAGAGGTGGATTCCGACCAGAATGCTAGAACCCGGAAGTAGTGGTGGCCATAACAGGTCGCGTCTTACACAATGCATTGGGCTGCAGCAAGTAGGCTCCTCGGCAGGGGTGGGTGCGCGAGGCGAGCTCCGGCCACACTGGAGAGGCGGAGAGGCGCTCCATGAAATCGCACGCCCAGGCGCCGCCGCCGCACACCCGGGGCACACGCACGCCGACGCGGGCGGCAGCGCCCGGCCGCCGCCTTGATTTCCCGCATTCTTCCCTCTCTCTCCCCCCCTCCAGACTCTCCCTCGGTCTCCAGCCCGACTCTCTTGAAATAAATTGGGAATAAACGCGGGGCCCGCCGCAGCAGCGGGAGTTATTTTGCACAGGGCACCGCACGTAGACTTCAAGACTTTCCTCGAAATTATTGGGGTCGGCCAGTCTGTGTCGGGCCCGGGGCTGATGCACGAAGTGCCGGATCCTCGGACCTAAACCTCTCCCCACCCCCGCCACCCCGAGGAGAAAAGTCCAACCCGGAGCCAGACGCGAGCGGGGCTGGGAGAGGCTCCGGCGGGGGAGTCCTGGGAACGCGGGGCCGGGGCTGGCTCGGGCGTACGGTTTTTGTGCTGTCAGAGGTGGACGCCCGGCCGGCCGCAAGGCAATGCTTGCATTTTGTCACTTTGGATCTGGACGCCCCCTCTCCTCGCCCCGGCAGCCCCCCGGCCCCAGCCCCGGCGTCCTGCGCGGAGTGAGAGCCAGGGAGGGAACAATGAGCCGGGCGCCGGGAATGTGCCCCCAGCGCCTGTTTACAAACACCGAGCTATTTATGATCGCCGGAAAGCGAAACCCGACGCGGGCTCGGGGCAGCCCGGACCTCGCGGGCGGAGCTGCGGCCCGGGCGCCGCGGGGAGGGCCGCTTTTCCTCAGACCCGCTGCGGGCGCGGCGCGACGGGGCCGGCGCGCTCGGCTCCGGCTGCGGCCGCCGCCGCCTTTGTCTTCGAGGCGCCGAGGGGCTCCGGCCTCGGCCTCGCGCGGGCCTGGAGGGGCCCCGCGCCCCCAGCTCTCTCCCCGGCGACGCCCTGCTCCTTTGCTGACCACACTTTCCTGTCCCCCCACCACCACCCACCCCACACACTCGGTTCGGCGAAAACTCCCAGTGCCTGAGGAAAAGGATCCACTTCGGGAGCCGAGGTTTGCAGACAAAAGCTGCCGGTACCCAAACTCGGAGGCTCGGCGCCTCTGGCTTTAACTTTCCCCCTGCGAATACCTATTCTCTGGGCTTAGTCATTTCCCCCCTTCTCTTTATTGTGGCACTCTGAGGTGGCCCTTTACAGTGCTATGTAATGGTGTTATTTTCGAGTTTGCTGCCCGCCGGGCTCCGGTCTGCTGAGAGGGCTTGGCCGCAGCAGCTCGACCGGCGCCGGGAAGCCTCCCATCCCCGAGCGGGGCTCGCAGCTCGCTCGGCTCCGAGAGGAACCCCCGCCCCCACCCCCCAGCCGAAGCCTCGCCGAAAACTCCCCCTGCGGTCGGCTGGAAAATGAACTCACCCAAATCTCGGTGGGCAGCCGTGGCGAAGGGCTCGGCCAATCAGGAGGCGCCCCCGCCCAGGCGGCCGCGCATTGGCTGCGGGGAAAATCAATTATCAAATAATCGATCAGCAGGGAGCTTCGATCTGCCGGGAATGCAAACCGCCAGCCCCGATTCCCGCCCCGAAGGTGGCCAAAAGGCTGACTCCCTCGAAGCGGCGGGCGCACGCGCCCCTCACCCCCACCCCCGTCCTGCGGCCCGGGCCGCGGCCCCAGCCCTGGCCCCTAAAGGGGCGCAGGGGTGGGGGGCAGAGTTTTCAGCCAGAGCGAGGGGGCTCCGTTCTGGCGGAGACGGTTTGGAAAAGGTTAGGCGCTCGGAGGTGTGCAGCAGCCAACTCTTAGGCGCCAAGTAGCAGGGAAGATGCGACCCGAGTTTCCGTGGAGTGGGCTTGCGACAGCGGGCACCAGGGCGAGCGTCGGACCCGGGGTCCCGACCGGGTCCCCGCCGCGCGCGGAGCCTCCCCGAGGCGATTCCTGTGGCTTCCTAAAGCCTCCGCAAGGGTCGGCGCCGGCTGAGCCGCCCCGAGAGGGCAGCGTTTCCAGCAGGCCGAGCCGACGAGCCCCGCAGCCTCCCCCAGCCCCCCGCCCCAGTCCGCTCCCGGTGTGCGCCTGGAAGACAGGGCTGGCGCGGTCCACCCAGAACCGCTCTCTCCTCCGAAGAGCCACGGCTGCTTTCCGTCGGTTCCAAACGTCCTCGGGATCCCTCATCTCTTGACTCGCCCCCCCATCCCCCTCAGACACACGCCTTTTCTTCTTTTGTCTGGCACACTCAAGTTTTAGGATCTCTTACTTTTTACGTCGCATACGTGTGTAGTTTCCTGGCACAAACTCCCCGACGCCTCACTCGGAAAGGGAAGGCAGGCCCCGGAGTCAAAGCCTGGGGGTCGGGGGGTGAGGGGCAGCCAGGTGGATGACCGGCGCCTGTGAGCCCACGCCTGACCCCTGCTCTCCCCACCCTCGCGGCATGAACTTGGAAGCAAATTTCAGGCCAATTTCAGGGTCTCGGGGAGGCGATTTCTGTCTTCTTCCTGGGGAGTGGCGCTGGCTGGGCCAGGCAGCACAAGCCTTTCCCAAGTATGGAGAGGACCGGGCCGGCCCGCAGCCCGCCGGCCTTCCCCACCACCTGAGCGCCTTCGACGGCTGCCTGCGGGGCCGTGCGCGCCGTCTCCGCACCCGCGCTCCTGGGAGCGGGAGGGGGACCCGAGGGGGACAGGGGAGGGCGTCGAACCAAAGCCTGACGTGGGCACGGCTTCGCTCACGGCCCTTATGTGAACTGCGAGGGAGATTGTGTAATTTAACTGAGGGAAATTTACTGCGAAATACACTTAGACGACCATGATCTTTACCAGCCCTTAGGGGTTCTCAGCAGACTTAGGTAACCCGGCCGGGCGTTCCCTCCGCTCAACCCTCCACGTTTTCACATTAGGAAAAGGGCAGTTTGTTAATATACGGAATATACTTTTTTAACAACAGGATTGGCTTCGTGTTATTGCTTTCCAGCAAATAATATCTTTTGTTTTCAGCAGAGATTAAAAACGAAAAAAATTCAAGTAAATCACTCTTTTCCAACAACCGGAGCCTTCAAAATAGTAGGCAGACTTGGGTGCAAACCATGGTATGCCAGGTCACCTTAAAAATGTTCTTTAAATGTCGTACACACAGATTTTTCTTACAGAATGGAACAGTTTGAGTTTGTGAGCTTAAAATAAACTTACTGGTTGTGAAAAGTGTCTTCTTCCCCACTATCCATTTGTAACTGTGAACCCAATGCTACTTCTAGGCCTTTGTACAATTAATTCTAGACAATCAAGGGGCTGAAACACTTTTACAATGTAATTACAGTAGTACAAATTGTTTGCCCAAACCTCATTCTGGATAAGGATTTTACAATTAGCAAACAGTTATTACAGTTGGGGCTTGCCGGGAGAAATTGCATGGAGGGTGTCTAGAGTTTTAACATAGGAGCCATAAAAGTTAAAAAAAAAAAAAAAAAGGGATACCTCCTTCAACAGGGTAACAATGAATCATCTATTAAAAGGAATAAGTGAAGGGCCAAGTCCTAGGTGTCAGTGAGAGCGGATGAGACGTTCCTGCTTGCTATGTGACAGCACCTATCCTAAGCATGGATCGTACACTTTCTTTTCTAGGCAAGTGAACTTTATTCTGCAGCATCTTGACTTGGTGAAGGCCCTTCCATTCTCTGCTCCTCCTTCACCTCCTCGGGCACCTTCCACAGATAGAGAAGGAGTACTAAAAAGAGGTGTTCTGGGCCCTTGGTCTCTGCTGTTTCTCCCCTCCCAAGGGAGGCATTTGAGGCCAGCGGAGCTCCTCTGGGCTGCTGGCCTCCTCTGGGGGTAAACTCCCCTTGTACCTTTCTGTTCTATAAGGAGCCGTGCCTTTGGGAAGGCCTATATCCTGAATTAGGCTTTTGTCCCAAAACTTCACACTGATGAGTCAGTTCCAAAGCCCTGTGAAATTAAAGAGGCACCTCTTAAGGTAAAATGTGTGTGTATTTGCCAGCCCAGAATAAACAAAAGCCTGTTAATCAATCGAGTTTGGCAGCTGTGTTCACAGAATGATAAGAGTTTATCATCTGCCACCTAACTTCAAGATGCCTTTTAAAATGTTGTGATTGCTTTTTAGGTTATCCTGTGGTGTGGAGGCTTGGGGTTGGTCCCTCAAGAACATCCCTCCTCTACATCTCACTCCCACATTCGCATTTGCATTTCAAAAACACAGAAATGAGAGGAGGGGAAGACAGCTTAAAGAAAATAGATTTGAAATCTAGTAGAGATAATAGAGGAATGTTAGAGATAAGAGCCTGGATGTGATGGGAGAAAGGTACCAAGAAGTCAGAGCTAATGAATGGCTGTGAGAAAAGTGAAAGAAACTATTTAGAAGTCTATTAAAGGGAGAAACCTGGTTAGGGCATGTGCAAGGGGGTCAACCCAGAGGATCAAGGAGGACGTTAATCAAGTGCCCCAGAGCAATGGAGGCTATAAGGACTGGGAAATTTGTTTACTGCATTTTGCTTCAGAAAACAAAGAATGTCTGGGTCCAGTTCAGAAGTCAGTGAGAGGTCAGCTTAGGCTCTCTAACCATTGGAAGGAAAATACCCAAGTCACTCTACTTTGGCCCGAGAATGCAAAAGCTAAGAGAAAAATTGGGGTGGGGGTGCTTTCTTTACTACTTTTCTATTTCAAATCATTACAAAGCTTTGGTCTCTAGAGGGGGAAAAAACTACACTGGTTAACATAATTACTAGCTCTGACATTTTCAGAAGTTATAGAGGTCTTTTATTAATTAAATGGAGGGCTTAATAAAATATTCCTAATAAAATTTATGGTTGTCTTAAAACTTTCTAAACAGTGCTATAAATTCTTAATAAAATTAACTGGGAAATGAGTTATTAGCTCACACTTTACCCTCTCCACCCCCGCTCCACCCCCTGGTCCTGCATTAAGAGTGTCTGCAG